TTTATTGTCTGCTGTTATGAACGTAAACATTTGATATACTTCTAAACCCAGAATTATTCGCAACTACTAAGTTTATTGGGCGATCGATATTCGCGTTGGTACACTAGTATCTAAATATACTCATGTACATTTCCCTGTAAAATTAATAATTGTTGAAAATTATATACGATACATGTATATAGAACTATTTATATTAATAACTATTCGACAACGATGCATTCCTGAAATATTCATAGAAAAGAGAATTTAGAGAGATTAGTAGCATGTAGAACGATGTATAATTTGAATCATTAATTTAACGCAAATTATTCGTGTCTATGTCAATAGAATCGAGATTTCCTGATGTAGTTGCGATGACGCCAATGTGATCGGTCCAAGATGGCGGCGCGACTGCTTCGATCTCCTCGGATATCTTGGTGGTGTAAACCTTTGAAGCACACAAAAACGACCACACTGACTCACTGTTAGCTTCGACTTTCTTCTGCCACGTAATCTTACCTCCGTAATTAGCGACATCATCCATTTTTTTTCACGTGTTTGCCATTCGCAACTTTTAATAACGCATCACTTTTCTAACAAATTCATACTGCAATTTTCATTGTTGCCGTTTCCAATTTTCAATATGAAAATTTTGCAATACCAATTCAACATCCACCAATTTTGAATTGTGTTACTATCTTCAAATTTAATGCTGTGCATGAATAATACACTTTAATCCTGTTGACATTGATTCATTTAGAAATACGACAGTACGAAATTTTGCGAAAATATTAGCTCAATTTCGTCGCGAACTTCTTGATTAGGAATCTGAATCATAATTGATTGTGATAGTTTTATTATTAATTTTACTTAACCACTTGCGACTAAGTTTTGAGTCACGGTGTATAGGGTGTCTCAAACTTAAACAGCCGGTTTATGAAGGCTTAATCTATATTATTTAAGTTAGCTAATGCGGAAATTCCACTCCTTTATCTGATTAATAGAAAATACTACGCGTTAATTGATAGTTGTTAATAATTGAGAACAGCAGATCGGTAATTAGTATTTAAAAGTAGTGCTTCATGTCTAAGTTTGACAAATTACATGACTTGCAAGATCACAGTCTGTTATTTTTAAAATAAATGAACCGAAACGTACCGGCCTAAAGTTCAGCGGTAATAATATTACCCCGACAAGCTATTCGCAATAATAATAAGTTATAGCTCTCACAATTATACATGATTCAGCATAATATTCACAAAGTATTAAGAAGTTTCATAAATACTGTAAAAAATATTCATGCGAATACACTAAAAGTTACGTTTATATTTTACGTTTTAACGCGTAGTATTTGTCAAATTATATTTAAAAATTTTAAGCATAAACTGCTACTTGCCTCGTATTGATATTTTAACTACTGTTTCAGTTACGATTTTTTAAGAAAAAGTAGGTCCTTCGAAATTTCAAGGTTTATAGATCAAAAAGTTTAAAATAAATATCAAATAATCAATTTCTAATTAATGCACCGAGTTCTTTAAGTTATGGAATTTTATAAAAATCCAAGAATATACGAATAATGTGATCACTTTACGTAGGAGGTTACAATCCAAATAAAATCTAGAATTAACAGAAAGTAAATTTAACGATGAAATTACTTCGTACGTTTTTTATTACGTTTCTTATCAAACGTTTTATGTTTTGTACGTTTCATTAGCCAATTTTTGCTGGAATTGCATCTCATAGGGATATTTCTAGTATATTCTAAATTATTTATACACCTATCTACTTTATTAATAGATGTGATTATTAATATTCGATCGTAACGATCTTACCTCTACGGGAGTAACCGGGGTAGTGGACGAACTGGTGATCGATGGCACAGTGGGCTGATAAACGTTACTCGGTTTTCTGACAAACAATTCAGCGCCCTTGTATCTCGCACTGAATCGCGGTGGCGATCCATTCGGTGTGATCCTGGGACTTGAATTCTGTTGGGAGATAATGACAAAAATGTGAATAACTAAAATTAACAAGAAAACCAATTGATTCATTATGTTTCTTTTAAGATAATTTATACAGAGAAGGTCAATCACTTAGATTCAGATTTTGAAAAATAAAACGTACAAGGAAAATTACTATTAAAAACAAACCTTACGACTATTGTAAATTATTATTGAATTTTTTTTGCGCAAATCAATGTTTATCGAGATTAAGAACTTTCATATATGGATTACCTTTATATATATATATTTGTTTACATCTAACCACCTATTTCTTTGTAATTAATTATGCATGTTCAATTTTCAACAGATCCTCATAGATTTTTCTAAAATATAAAACCTTTAATATTTCACGTGAAGTTTAAGAAAAATCGATTTAAAAGTACAACAAATGTTTAATTATGAAGATATTTTGTATCTTACTCGTATTAACACTTTGCATTCTCAACAAATTCTCCGGACTCTCCTGAACAAAATTATAAACTACACAAAATCCACCGAGCACTTTAATGAATTATAACATCCGTTCTTCAAAAACTGTTCGTCACCTACTTCATCATAGAATTTAAAACAAAGACCATTCCGCATTCGCAGCTTCCAATATACAGTTCAACAAGCTAGAAACATATTATCCCACAAATAACTAAAAATATTTTCATCGTCGAATAATTACCGCAGTGTTGACGTTGCTGTAGGCAGCGGAGAACACGGGTGTTTTGTTACCGAGGGAGCTGAGCAACGGTGCCACCGTGCTCCTAAGTTGTTCCAGCAGCGTGCCATTTCCAATGATGAACGCGCTCCTGGTCGGGTTGAAGACATTCGTGTTACCACTGTCGCCGTTGCTGCTGCCGGTAATGCCAGTCGTCTGCTGCGCAGTGTCGTTCGCGATCATCAGGTTAACCTGTGGTTCCTGCGATACCGATGGAGTGGATGGCGTGGTGGTGTTCAGGCTAGCCAGGGACTGCGGCGATCGGGGCGTGATGGCGACTCCGGCACCGTCCACCTTCGTCGTTGTCTGTATCACGGTCGTCGGGACATCCGAGTGCCTCCTATAAGTAGCTGTCCTGGGTCGGAACTCTATCTTCTTGGTCTGCGTCGCTGGACTCTCAGTACTGATAGCTCTAACTTTATCTACAGTCTTCACAGCTGCCTTCTTTTTAGAGTATCTACTGGTAGCTGCGGGTAACTTCGTGGTACTAATTGCCTGGTACTCGGCCTTCTCCTCAGAACTCCTTTCCTTCGTCCTCTTACTGTAACGAGGTCGGAAAGTAGGCTTGGTCACACTTTCAACGAATTTCGCCTTTTTAGGAGCAATTTCTTCCTTCGATTCCTCCGCGAACTTTTGCCGCGAGCTCTGTTTAGCTCCTCGCGTGGTGGACTTCTTCGGCGCGATCGTTGCGGAAGTCAGATCAGATGGTTGGTCCTGGGTCTTTCTGTTGCGTGATTGGTACGCGTATACTTTCTTAGGTTTGAAGGTGGTAATGGTGTCGTTACTTTCTATCGCTGGGACTTTCGAGTTTTTGCGCGCATTCGACGTATCTTCCTTAGACTTTTTGCCACCCCTGCTGGAAAAGCGGATCCTAGTTGTGTCTAGGGTGGTCGCCGATGGTACTTCTTCCGAGGAAACGGTGACAGTGGGATTCGTTGGCTGGTACGATCTCGTGGTTTCCTCTACCCTTTCTTCGACCGAGATCGAAGTGACCATTCTCTCGGAAATGATTCGCCCTTTCTTCGAGTTGGACGGTCTAGCGGTAACCTTCGAGGGACCCTCGGAACTTTTCCTCGGCCGGTAAAGTTTCGGGGCTTTCTCGTCCTCCTGCGAGCTTCCCGTGGAAGCCCTGCGATCGAGCTTCGTGAACTTGGCGACCTTGGTCGCCTCGTCGGGCACCGGCTTGCCGGTCGGTTTCGGTTTGCTGAAAGAGGATGCCGTGGTTGCGTCGAGATCATTCTCCTCGATGTTCAACTCTGGCTTGACTAACCTCCTAGCCAGGTCCAGCTTCAGCTTCGATCTTTCGGCGAACAGAGCTGTCGAGGATTTCTTCACCTGAAAGGGGCGTTCAAAGAGCTCCGTTTTAAGATAGTGGGGAACCACCGCCGAGACTAAAGCCGGCTCCGGAAGCTCGAGCAGGGAGGGCTCTGTTAGTGTGCCACGGTCTCGACGAGGTCTCCGTCGACGGGAGGAGGCGTTCTCAAGGTCGCTCGCGAAGCTTACCACGCGCCGGTCAATAAATAATCGTACAGTGACCACGGGGACGGAAATCGTAACGATGGTATTTTCCTACATGAAGAATAGAAGCCTGAGGAAGCGCAGAAACGAGACGATCCATGCTGCCATTTGGCTCGTAACGAGCTCGAGCCACGATTTCACGGAACTGGACAACAACTGAAAGGTTTAATCACTGTTATCAGGGGGCGGGAGGAAGCTGTGATCGCGGCGGTGCGGAAGACTCATGTAACGACCAGGTGAAACGATCAACAGAGGAGACGGTGACATGGAAAACTAACGTACGACAAGTAACAAGCCCGAGGCTGCCGAAGCGTTCTCTATTAATCGTAACTACAATGGTTATAGGCTACTGTGATGGATCGGTCTCGATCTTGTTCCCCACGTACTGGGGGCAAAAAAAAATATATATATGTATATACGTGTCGAAAAACTATTTGTCAGTCCTCAAAAGCGTCGATCAAGCGATTAGCTGCGGTGAAGAGGTGACATAATTGGGTTTTATTACGGAGAGAGCTGTGAACAGTCTTTTTCATCCTGGTAGAATCGATTCTAGGGCGAAAGGAAACCAGTTTACTGTTTACGGATTTCACGTGGCGTGGCTGTCGTGTTTTGTTATTCTATGTAGTATATTACGATGTTGCCTAATTACTAACGGCATCCGGAATTTGAAAATTATAGTATTTGAATAGGGGATGATTCGATAAGAGTGATGGACTTTCAAATAGCTTTAATCGTTTTCTCGCGAATTTTTCGCAAATGTTATCAGGTTTGATTAATTATTTTGAAGTGATATTAGAGTTTAAGAAAGTGTACCAATAATTGATAATATAATCACTTTCACTTTGAACTATGTTCTTATTTTTGTTCTATAAGTAACTAGTAGATATTATTAAATATTACAAGGAAGTTACTAAATTTACTTGTTTACATATGCTGATACTAGTTGCTGAGAAGTTAAAAAGAGTTAGGAATTTTTGATTACCCATTTTGAAACGGATGAATCAGGGAAAATCTATAAGAAACAATGTGTTGGGATTTAAGTTTTATGTTCGACGCGATTGATGTGGCAATCTGAGTGGTTATCCATAGAATGCAACATCAAGATTCCACTACGTTAAGTGAAAAATTTGCGGCAATAATCGGTAATCCATTGAGCAACTGAGAATGAGCATTCATTTAATTATTCGCTCTATTAACTCTGATTTATGTAATGAAGTTATATAATATTACATCCCACTTATAATGCAATAAAATACGTTTCATAATGGAATAAATATTTCAGTCATATTTTACATCTTGTTTTATTCGAATTAAAATATTTGTCACTCTTATTGAAACATTCTTCACTAACATTGAAGAGACTAATTCACACGACTTTCTAAGTTGACTGACATTAACGAAATAATGCGAAATTTCGAACACAATGAAAGAAATAGAAATTCCTAACAGATGATGACATATTTAGACAGAAAGACATTATGCGCAATATTATGACGAAGAAGATGATATCTGAATTAGAAAAGTTTGCATATTTTTTGCTAAATGTCTTCATTTTTGTCTTTAATTGAAGAAGAGAAAAATTCACTGTAGGAAATCAATCTCCCTGCAATCACGAGGTGGAATGTCGTTTAATTTTACGTGATTTGGATAGAGATAAAGGCTACCATCCTCCTTCAAGACGGGCCACTCATCGACTTAGTGAAAAATCACCTTTCTCGTCCTCCCTTTCATTTCCTTTCCCTTCCGTCTTGAAAAATCTCGCCCCGGATGGTTCAACTATCACAGACCCCCTGTCCTCTGAGAAATGGGAGTACAGCACGTTCCATAAAAGATTTATCTACGTGCGATATTAGATATCTGATCCTCTGAACGCTTTAATACTTCTGAACCTATACATCACTTTAAGAAGAAATGCACAGAAATTATGAATGAATCATAGAAGAAATGATTTTTTCAATAACAATATAATTCAGAATACACATCCAATTTCTTAATACTTTCACCGAAGTTCTATAATATACAAAAATGTGACTATTACAATTACACTTAATTTCCTTCAATTTCAAATTTACTTTCAGTCTCAAACTCTCAATAGATAAAAACAAATAAATTCATTCAAATCTTTAAAACACTGATAAAAGAATCATATAAAAGCATGTAGAAATACGACGATGATAACCAATTGAACGTTTATTATTAATAAATAATTAAACGACCGTATTTATCAATATGAACATTTTTTACATTTTGATTCAATTTTTTCATGATACACAGAGACGAAATAATCGCCTGACGAAAAAATGCTCCCCTGCTTCACCTGTCGACTCCTCATCATCGCGTATAAACTCGAATGTCTTTCGTGACTACCGAATTCTATATATTCGAGATATCTTCGCGGTTCTGACATTAATACGGATCACAGGCAACTGTTAAGCGCGCCGCTAAAAATGAATAAAAACATATTACGTACAGGTAGGTCAAACAAGCCTTCACTTTCTCCGCGGAGATCCCGAAATAAAAGCAATCGAACGACAACCGAAAACCAGTTTACAGTCTCACACGTGAGCTCATAACTGGGCCTCCTCAATAAGTGAAACACTTGGGCGGTACAATAAACGGTACGCAGGACGGAGAGGTCGCATGAAATTTCTCCTATTAGATCTCCTGGCGTCCCGTTTTAGACCTTGAGAGAACTCCTCGTCGAGGATCCGTCGCTCCTCGTGTTAAGATATCGTTCAGTCCAGTCATGTTTGGAGATTGACGATATTGTCATAGGTGTATGTAGATCATGATGACATACTCGGATTTTTATAACAGAAGAATCTTAAAAATCGAATTTTGGTTTTCATGGTTCTTTCATGAGACGATATTACGCATGTTGCGAATGGCATTTGTAAAATATTAACTGTAGATACTCGATGATTTGTTTAGTTTCTCTTCGAGATACGCTGCGAATGTAAATTCACTTCAATAAAGTTAGGTTCTCGTTTAAGAACTACTTTTTGTTCATTCAAATTTTACTGCTGGTTTATGCAATACTGATAATCGTAGTGCAGAAGTAAATGCAGAAAAAGCTGGTCTCTGTGAATGGTTAATAATTGCTTGTTTGTTACACTGACATTGCATATTTTTCAAGAGTTTCGTTTTGTTTTTGGGAAGGAGAATTGTAGTGGGTTTATATTGGAGAATATTTCTAGAGAAGTTGGAAGGGAGTGCATGTAGATTTCAGCGTTCTTGAATAAACCGGTGCTTGTCATTAGTAACCTATAAGTGCAATCGGTCGAGTGTAATTAGATATGTTAGAAAGGTCACGACCGGTTGTAAAAATTGGGTCGTGATTTTGAAATCGTGCTGTGCACTTTTTAACCGGTTTATAGAAATATGTTTCTACCTTTTAATGTAGAATATGTTTTATTGATACTGGTTTTCGTGTGTATGTTAATGGAACACTTTTCTTGGTGAATATTTAATTACTTATGGCGCAATTTGTTTGATCTCTTCATAAACACGTGTGGTTTAATTATTAATATAATGCATATAGCTAAAATATAATTATAGGTCTTTCTATATAAATACTTTCAAATTTTTTACATAATTGCTGAATTTTCCATGGAATCAAATTTTTTATTTTTTGTAGACAAAATAATTTTGGCATTGAATTTAAATATTATATTTAACAATTACTTAACCGTTACTACAAATAGAAAGTACAATTTATTTAGCGCTATTGCATTTTTTATTTGTTTAAGCTTCGGTAACATGTAAAGTAATTACTTAAATATTCTATACAGAATTAGGTCATTTTAGGCAGTCTATGAAACGAAAACTTCAATTTATATTTCAATTAGTTATTATACGTGCCATAACTATATATTAGATGAAAAGAAATTATTTTCCTGAGAAGTGTGTTTAATCAAACCAAAATGTATTATAAGAATATTCGACTGTAAATCATTGGCTGTAGATCATTTTACAACGAAATATTCGCTTTGATACATTAACTAGGTTCCCCAATTAAATTTACATTCACAGCATATCTAAGAGGGACATATTTTTAATTGTTTATATGTTAAAAATTACCGAGTATCTGTATATCCAATCATTTTTAATTATTTATATATTAAAAATTATCGAGTATCTGTATACCCAATCATTTTTAATCATTTATACATTAAAAATTATCGAGTATCTGTGTACCCAATCATTTTTAACCGTTTATATATTAAAAATTATCGAGTATCTCTACACAAAATATTTTACATATACCATCATCTCACAATAACCCAGCAAAATGAAAATCAGAAAATTAAGATTTCCCCGTCACAAGCATTCGAATCTCCAGATCGTTCGAATGGTACCCCATCCGACAAAACACCAACCACCAGAAAAGCTTTTCCGCCCGACTGCAAGTCTCTTTAATTGTTAATCGAGCATCATTGTCCAGTCTCGGTTGGTCGTCAATGATGTTAAAAGCAACAAATCGCATTCGTGACTCGTATCCTTCACCCAATTTCCGTTTTCTTCGACGCACAATCGTAGTATTTTATCCCGTATCAGATCGCACTATACGATTAAATCGAAACTTTCTCCTTCCCGTTTCAGAAGTTCCAGGAAATTACAGCATTTCCTATCTCTCGGATCACGCTGGTGGTGATCCGTTTTATTAAATATCTTTAATACGTAGCCGTATCGCCAACGGACAAATGAAATTAGCGTACTACAATGGCCCCTGGCTCTGTTCTCGGAGCGGATACGTCGGGAAGTTCGGAAAAGCACGTCTCACTCGAAAGCTGCTAATAAACGACTATCGTATTCACTTAGCCGGTTTCGTTCAAGAAAAGCTGACGATGAATAAAAGCTCGGTTCACAAACGCAACGGACAAAGGAGGGGCAGATTGAAGCGGTCACGCGATAGAAATGATTTGCAGGTGGCTCTTACGCGTCGCAGTCCTGTGGCATTTAGCAACGTTAGAGGATTCACGATTAAACTTTGATCCGTGAAAACGAGATTTCCTGCGGCTGAGGTATCGAGGTCGTCAGGCTCAATCGCCTTCGAGTTGGTCCTCAAACGTCGACCGAAGAGATTCGTCTGTTGACCCTACACGAATTGCATCGATCTTGAATAAATTCATCACTTTTCCTATTGCTAACTTCTCAACGATAAGACATCGTTCCACATTCTTCGGAGGTATCGTGATAATATTTCGTCAATGTGTCGGATTGCGTATCGTGTGTTATGTATGTTGTTACGTGCATGCTGATCAAACTGTTTTTAGTCGCGTTATGTACGTTCTTCAACATTCGCTGTACCATTTTAATTGTGCAGAGTGTGCCGCCTAGGCTGATTAACTTAAGTTACTTGGTGACTGTTTGTTGCATGCGAAAATGTTTCGGAGGAAACTGAATTTATATAAATTTGAAAGTGGAATTATAGTATAATTGCTATATTATAATTATTATATTATGATTACTATATTGCAATTACTATATTACTATATTACAAGTACTATATTGTAATTACTATAACACTATATTATAATTTTACTTATTTCGATTTTGCAAAGAGATACGAAGGTCGCCCTAAATTCTGTTGATTAAATTATATAACATTTGAACCTTTAATTCAGTTAATCATCAACCAGTTATTTCTTTAATGATTCTTGTTTTGAATATTTTCCATTACAATCAAAAAGTGCATTATTTAT